CTAGGGATTCTAGGATTCTAGGGATTATCGATTTACTTAAAGAGCAATTTAGGACACATTTTATTAATACTCTCATCATCAACCTCCCCATCACCCTAACCTTTTCAGTCTTCACCGTATCGTTCTAAGTGATTACCAAGCCACACTTATTTTTAGTTAGTGAATCTTTCCCACTTATATTACCACAAGGAAAAATGCTTGCTTGGCTCCTACACAGGCAAAAAAAATATGCCTAGGAGTTATTGCGTGCCTTAAATATATCAAAACGACCTTCCTTTGAACTGATGCCCTATAACTTAAGAGATGAAGAGAGTTTGGTTTTCCCAATCTATTATAAAGCATTTTTAGGTGATAAAGGATATCAGATGAAGAAGATAAAATGTTTCACATGGAGGACCTCATTCAGAGCACGGATATATCTGCAGATAATTGTAAGCTCCTCAGAATCCTTGATGGGAAATATATTGATAATACAATTTTTCTTTTGAAGGGGATTGTAATGATTGCAAATTTGGCTAAATAATTAAATTAATAAGAACTACTTGATTCAAACATGGGCCTTTTGATGATGTGCAGAGCTAATAGTATCGGTCTTGCCAGCTAAAGAGGTTTTAAAAGACCATCCCGGCCTCTGCGGGCAGACCACCCCTGGCCCTTTATTAACCCATCAGTGACCTTTCTATTAAAATGCAGTTAAATGCAGTCTCAGGAAATACTAAAGAAAAAAAAAGTAAAATAGTTCACAACAACATTCTTATTTTATTCCTGTGAATGAAAAAATCATTTTTATAATTATAAAATTTTCCATAAAAGATGGCCTTTTAAGTTTTAGGAATCCATTGCAAAATAGAGGTAAAAATCCCAAATCCCTGTTAAAGCATCTCTGAATAGGAGCTGACAAGACAGCGACATGTAAGGCGAAGCTCAGAACAGCTCAGAACACAAAGACCTGTACTTCGCAGGTGCCAAGTGCTCTTGGGAGCCGGTGCATGGTGGGGAGCAGGGGCAGGCAGCCAGGTTCCTGGGTAGGAGCTGGACTTTGGAGCCCACCCATCCTGGGGACTGTGATGGGACCTGGGTGAGTGGCTGTGGTCTTCTCAGCCTCAGTTTCCTTGTCTCATCTGTAAAATGGGACAATAACCTCCGTCGATCCTAATGAGGATGTCAGGGCAGGATGAAAGCACACGCACGGAGCATCCGGCATACAGTAAGGGCCCGATATGCGTAGATCCCCGTCTCTCTGTGGGATGTTTGGAATCGGCTCATTGTGATGGTGGTGTCAGCTGGAGTCATGGGGGAGTGTGTCTGCGGTGGACTGAACTTTTGTGTCCCCAGAATTCATCTGTCGAAGCCCCGACCCCTGGTGTGACTGCATATGGAGGTGAGCCTTTAGGGCGGGAGGCTCAGGTTTAGGGGGCTCCCTGGGAGGGCCCTCATGACGGCATTGAGGTCTTCCTGAGACGAGGTCAGAGCCCACCCCCCATCACATGAGGACCCAGGGAGCTGGCAGGCCAGGCAGGGGGTGCTCAGCAAGGATGGAACTGGTCAACGCTTTGATCCTAGACTCGAACCTGCAAGCCTCGTGTTTCTGTGAGGTGGGTTCTATCACTGCCCGTCTGACGGGTCAACAGACCGAGGCTCAGAGAGGCGCAGCAGCTGATAAGTTGGTTCACAGTTGCAGTTAGTCTGAAGGCCGTGCATCTGGCTTCATCCGTGGTTCCCTCTGGAGCCTCATGGCGGCGAGCCCAGGGCCGCTCTGGAGATGCCCCGGAGGGCCCGGGGAGTCAGGCTCGCAGGCCTCACCGTGTGTGGCCCTGACCACCCCGCAGGTGGCAGGCGGTGATGCAGGCCTCCCTGCTGATCAGTCTCTCTGGGTCTTCCCTAGTGAGTGAGCGGCTTCTGCCACCAGAGAGCTGGACGCCGGGGCCGGCCACGGACCTTCAGAAAACCTACCTGCCATTTCTGCTTCTCACCCATCCCGAGCTCTGAACTTTCCCGGGCTCAGAAGGCGCGGAGCATGGACAGCCATGGCCCCTCCTTGGAGGGGTGTGTCCAGGCCCCAGAGCTGGGGGTGGCTGAGCCAGCGCGGTAGGTGCCACACGTCTGATTCACTTGTGAGTGTCCGCGTTCTGCCTCCTGGGTATGGAGACCAGGGTCCTGGCCCCGCCCTGGGGACAGCCAAAGTCTCCCCACACCTTCTACGTGCCAAGCTCCATTTGAGGCGGTAACGTGACGATGTCTCGTCTCATGTGTTGCTCACACCACGTGGACTTACTGTTAATATCATCCCTGTTTCCCGGAATTGCAAACTAAACCCAGGAACTTGCCCAGAGCAGCAGCATTTGAAGTGGCACGGCTGGGGCTGAAGCCTGGGGAGTCGGTCGTCACACCCTGACGGGGGTCTTTGAGTCTAATCCCCATCGGGACAGGCGGAACTCCACCAGTCAGGCTGGGGACCCATGAAGGGAGCTTAAGGTGATGCTGTGGCGTCCAGGTGGGTGCTGGGCTTGGGGCAGCCAGACTGCTTCTGGGACATAGTGGCCAAGACGGGGGGACAGGTGTCCTCTCGATGGGGTCACCTTGGCCTCAAGGCCTGGGGGGAGCCAGGCGTCAGTGCCCTAGGCTCACGATATGGCGAGCCAGGACAGGCAGCTCGGGAGATCTGAGCACCCCCTCTGCTTGTCGGGGGCCTCTCTCGCCCAAAGAGGGTCCAGTTTCCCATGAGTGGATGTGGGGTTTAGAGCCCCGGCAGAGGACAGGGGCTCACAGGCCTGTGGCCACAGAGAGGGAGAGACGGGGGTCAGGGGAAAGGGGCTGATGGGGGTAACAGGAGGCCCAGGGCGGCAGCTGGTCGCGGGCAGGCATGGGCGGTTGTTCCCGGCAGCCGCCTGCCCCCTGCCTGCCCCTGGGTGCTTCTGAAACAGCTGGGAGCCAGTGGAGCCTTTCCTGGGCTCTGCGGAGAGGCCCAGGGCTCAGCGTTCGGCCTGGCCTTGACCGCGTGTTTGTGCGTGGTCAAGAGCCCCTCTTCCCAGGATGACAAAGCTGCATCTGTTTACAAACAGCCCGCGAAGAGCTGTCCCCGAGTCAAAGTGTCTGTGAGGACACTGCTGGGTTTCCACGGGCCCCGTAACCCCGTTACTCAGGGCCACTCTCTGAACACTGAATGCAGCTAAATGCTTTTGAACTGTGGTGTTGGAGAAGACTCTTGAGAGGCCCTTGGACTAAAGAGATTACACCAGTCCATCCTAAAGGAAATCAGTCCTGAATATTCTCTACAAGGACTGAGGCTGAAGCTAAAATTCCAATACTTTGGCCACCTGATGTGAAGAGCTGACTCACTGGAGAATACCCTGATGCTGGGAAAGATTGAGGGCAGGAGGAGAAGGGGGCAACAGAGGATGAGATGGTTGGATGGCATCACCGACTCAATGGACATGAGTTTGAGCAAACTCCGGGGGATAGTGGGGGACAGGGAGGCCATGCTGCAGTCCACGGGGTCACAAAAAGTTGGACTTGGCTGAGGGACTGAACAACAACAGCAAATGCAATTTATTAAAAAATGTTTTGTAAAAAATTAATTTCCCAGGAGATTTCTGTATATTACTCTAATTGCTTTTCCTTGACTGACTAATTTTTTAAATAGCAGTTTTATGAAAAAAAAAATCCAAGTGTTTCTAGATGAGCAGTGTCTCAGTGGGAACAGGGTTCTCAGAGAGGTTTGCAGTCTTGATATCTGGGTTTATATATGGCCCTCTATTGACACTACCTTTTGATTAATATTGTGTATAACATTCCTTAATGCATCCGCAGAATTAATTATGCAGAAACATTCAGGCGTGCCGACATTATATTGATGAAATGACGTTTTATTGACAAAATGACAGTTTAATACTGAGCTTTCCTCAAGCTGTATATCTAATCAATTGCCTCATTCTGCGAACGAGCCCATCGGGGTAAGAACCAGGTAAATCTGTCTGTCTGCTCCGCGTGTTCTCCGCAGATCCGCGCGGGGGCGGGGGGTGTGCACGCAGCATCACTGCATCTCGCGCAGACTTTGGTGAAGCTTTTGGATGAATACCAGAGCGTGTTCACTCCTGCCGTGCTTGTCTGGATGATATAATGTTGCTTTCCTTTCATAACAGTCTGCAGTCACAGCTCTTACAGGCCCAAGTTTGCTTTTGCCCCCTCTCATGGGTTGAATGGTGTCCCCCACACCCATAAATGCTCGTGTTCATGTTCTGCATTGACTCAGGACGTGCCCTATTTAGAGAAGCGGGACTTTACTGATGATCACGTGAAGGTGAGGTCATCAGGGAGGGTCCTAGCCCAGTAGCCCCTGTGTCGGCACAGAAAGGGAAACTTTGGCCCCGCCCGCGAGCGCCGGGAGGTCAGATAAAGCCTGGAGCTCTGTGGCCCCGAGTCAGGGACCCACAGAAGCCAGGAGAGGCGCCCAGAGCAGACCCTCCTCAGACGCTTGGGGAGCCTGGCCACGCCCAGACTCCGGCCTCCAGGCTGGGGGCCGTGACCCCCGTTTGTCTGCTGCGCGCTTTCTCTGGTCTGCTCTGGCAGCCTAGGCGACCACCTCATGCAGCTTCCAAACTGTGAGGACCTTCGCTGTTCTCTGGGCATGCAGAGACCCCAGAGCCAGGGCTGCGCCAAGGGTCTGCTGTTCAGGCTTTGCTGTGGAGCCTGGTCTCCTGGGACTGGGGTGGTGGTGCGGTTGCTAAGTCATGTCTGACTTTCTGTGATCCCATGGACTGTAGCCCATCAGGCTCCTCGGTCCCTGGGATTCTCCAGGCACGAATACTGGGCTGGGTTTGTTCCTTCCTCCAGGGGATCTTCCCAAACCAGGGATCGAACCCACATCTCCTGACTCTCCTGCAGTGCAGGCAGACTCTTTACCACTGAGCCACCAGGGAACCCCAGGAGGGATCTGGGTGGTTCCCCTTATGTGGGCTTAGATGACGGTTAAATACGAGTGGGGGTGTGGGAGGGATGGAATGCTTAGGAACCGGTCCAGGCCAGCTCTCAGATCAGAGGTGGGGGAGACTGAAGCTGGTGGAGGCTGGACCACAGCGTGGTCAGCCGCTGCTCAGGGCTCCTCCAGCCAAGCCCTTCACGTGGTCCTGCCTCCGTGGCGCCTCCTGAACAAGTGTGGCTGCCCGGGCCTTCTTCCTTTAACCGCTACCCCACCCGAGGTGGCCTGGGTAACAAGGTACCAGGTGCTGAGGCTGCGGGATGCAGGCGGGGGGCGGGGGGCAGAGAGGGGCCCTCTCTGGAGCGGAACAAGCATGCTGGCAGGGACAGGAGAGGGCCTGGCAGGGGCATGCAGCGCCAAGGCTGCCTCAAGGACGGTGAGCATCCCCTCCCCCCAACTGGTCACCTGGGGTCAGAAGGAGGTTAGTGGCTGCTCATCAGCAGAGCCACCCAAAAACCGCCTGGCATCTGGTGAGACGTGCTGGTTTCAAGCCATCTCGGAGCCGGTGGGAACCGACATCCCTCTTAAAGCACTATCTTAATTGGCAATTTCAGCAGAGAGGTCTAAGAACGAATGAGGATCATTACTGGGTACAGCTTCATCCGCTCCGCTGTGCCGTGAGCATTTATCAGGAGGGCCACAGATGTATTTATCACGAGGAGTAAGGCTGCCAGCCTTCCTTTCGTCATTTCTCCATTACGCCGGTCGATGGCCGAGTTGGCAGGCCATCCCTGCCCTTGCGTGGGTCAGGCTTCTTCTTGATCCTGCCAGCGGCGGGCTCACAGGCACCTCCCCAGCCAGGCTAGTGGGCTGGTCCTCCAGCAGGACTTGGCCCTGCCCCCCCCACGCCCACCCCCCAGCAGAGTCAGCTCTCCTGACCTGGGGTGTGTGCTGGTCCTTGAAGAATCACTCAGTCAAGCTGGGACCTTGTCCCGGAGATCAGAGTTCGATCCCTGGGTTGGGAAGATCCCCTGGAGGAGGGCATGGTAACCCACTCCAGTTTTCTGGCCTGGAGAATCCCATGGACTGAGGAGCTTGGCGGGCTACAGTCCACGGGGCTGCAGAGAGTCGGACACGACTGAACAGGCACTGGCTGGCTGGCTGTAGGTTACAGATACACTTCAGAGTGTGGACTCTGGACTCTTTGGTCTGACTCTCACTCAGCATGATTATTTTGAGATTCAGCCACACTGTATCATGTATCACTAGTTCACTCCCCCTTTTTTACATTCTTTTTAAGGTGAAACTGAAAGTAGCTCAGTTGTGTCCGACTCTTTGCGACCCCATGAACTATACAGTCTGTGGAACTCTCCAGGCCAGAAAGTGGTGTGGGTAGCTGTCCCCTTCTCCAGGGGATCTTCCCAACCCAGGGCTTGAACCCAGGTCTCCCACATTGCAGGAGGATTCTTTACTCTCTGAGCCATGAGGGAAGCCCTTCTTTTTAAAACATTGTGGTAAAAAGCCCATTCTTGAGTAATATCTTCTGCCATTTGCCCCATGAGGTGCTCAGCCTTTTCTTATTGACTTATCGAAGTTCTGCAGGTACGTACCGAAGGCCTTTACCCTTTAGTTATCACATTCAATGCAAATATTTTCCCCAGATTTTACTTTATAACTTAATTGTTGCTATTTTAAAAATATACGTCAATATTTAAGAACGGTCTTACAGACTGGTCCTCGTAGCAAAGAGACAAGGCACCAGTTCCGGGCTGTCTGAGACGGGCTGCGTCATCTCGGGAGATCACAGCCCAGCGCGGCCCCGTGCGATGCGGCGGGGCGGGGCAGCCCGCCAGGAGCAGCAGTGAGTGCGCTCTGGGGAGAGCCGACCCTTCAGGTAGTCCAGCGGTGGGCTGTTTCGTCCAGATTCCCAGGTCTGCACGGCATATGTTCAACGTCCGAAACTCCTTTGCACCTGCGTGCCACCCCCGGTCTGACCCTCGTCCTGCAAATCTCCAAGTGGATTACAGGAACACGTTCTGTCCTCACATCTGCAGCTGAGCAGACACCCACGCCGACTGTCTCAGCTCCAGTGGGTGGTCATGGTGCTCGAACCGCACCCCCTCACCAGCTCCCACCTGCCTCTCCCCAAGCCTCTGGTGACTGCTCATCTACTTCCTGTACTGACGGACTAGCCTCTTCTGGGCTCACATGTCACGTGAACTTCTGTGTCCGGCCTCTCTCACTGAGTGTATTCGAGGATCACACGTTGCAGCCTCCGTCAGGGCCTCCTTTCTTCTTGCCAAACACTGTCTCCTTGTGTGGATGGACCAGGCGACATCTATTCTTTCATCAGCTGGTGGGCATTTAGGTTGTGCCTGTCTTTTGGCTGTTAGGAGAAATGTCGCTTTGACATTTCGTGGGCAAGCTTTTGTGTGGATGCACGTTTTCATTTCCCCTCACTTAGCAGTGGAATGGCTGAGTCATCTGGTAACACAATACAGAACATTTTGAGGAATATGTGATGCTTCATTTATATGTCAACTTGGCTGCCCCACAGGTGCCCGGAGGTTTGGTCTGATGCTGCTCTGGGCATGTCTATGAGGGTGTTTCTGGATGAGATGAAGGTTTGAAACTATAGACTAAGGCTGATGCTCCCCAGGGCTGGGCCTCATCAGTCACCAGGAGGCCTAGCTGGAAGGAAGCGCTGAGTAAAGGGACCCTGCTGCCTGATGAGACTAGCTGGAAAGCTAGTCTTTTCCAACCTTTGCACTTGTTCTTAAGGGGATTCCCTGATGGCTCAGAAGGTAAAGAATCCACCTGCAATGTAGGAGACACAGGAGACTCGGGTTTGATCCCTGAGTCAGGAAGCTCCCCTGGGGAAGGAAATGGCTACCCACTCCAGTATTCTTGCCCCGAAAATCCCATGGACAGAGGAGCCTGGTGGGCTAAAGTCCATGGGGTCACAAAGAGTCGGACACAACTGAGCGACTCAACAGCAATAACAAGACTCCAGAGCCTCTCTCCCTCTGTGGCCCTCTCCCCCACTCTCCCTACCACGTTAGGACATGGAGAGAGGGTGTGCGTCTCCAGCCAGGAGGGGAGACCTCCTCCAGACCTGCAGCACCTTGATCAGAGACTTGCCATCCTCCAGAACTGTGAGAAGGAAATTATACTCTTCATACCACCCCATCATGGTGGTGTGTGTTAGCACCCCCGTTGTTAAGCATGGTAACGTACAAGGTCCTCCGCATCCTTACAACGCTTCTATCACCTGCCATTTTACTGCAGCCACCCTCGTCTGTGCGATGTGGAATGTCATTGCGGTTTTGACTTCCCTTGGGGCTTCCCTGGTGGCTCAGCTGTAAAGAATCTGCCTGCAATGTAGAAGACCTGGGTTCGATCCCTGCTTTGGGAAGATCCCATGGAGAAGGGAAAGGCTACCCACTCCAGTATTCAGGCCTGCAGAACCCCGTGGACAAAGGAGCCTGGCAGGCTACAGTCCATGGGGTCACAAAGAGTCGGACACGACTGAGCGACTTCACTTTCACTTCCTAATGTCTAGTGAAGTTCAACATCTTTTCACGTGCTTAGTGGTCACTTGAATATCTTCACTGGAGAATCATCTGTTCAGATCCTTTGCTTGTTTTTAATGGGTTATTTGTCTTTTTATTATCCAATTGTTAAGAGTTCTTCATATATTCCTGATAGAAGTTCTTTTTCTGATGTATGATTTGCAAGAATTTTCTTCCACCTTGTCTCTGGATGGTGTTCTTGGAAGAACCAAAGTGTTTCATTTTGACAAAGTCAAGATTACTTATTTTTCTTTTGTTATTTGTGCTTTTAACGTCCTAAAAGCCTAAGAAGTCTTTTTTTTCCCCCATTTATTTTTATTAGTTGGAGGCTAATTACTTTACACTAAGAAGTCTTTACCTAACCCAGGTTATGAAGATTTGCTACTGTGTTCTCTTCTAAGAACTTGATAGTTTGACCTCTTAAATTTAGATCTAAGGGGACTTCCCTGGTGGGCCAGTGGCTAAGACTTGGGGCTCTCACATGGAGTCCCTGGGTTCAATCCTCAGTCAGGAGGCTAAGACCGCACATGCTGCGACTAAGATGCCACAACAAGACCAGGTGCAGCCAAATTAATGAATATTTTAAAATATAGGTCCATGATCTATTATGAGTGAACTACCTTTTGCACGGTGTGAGGGTCCAGATTCATCATTTTGCTGTGGATATATCCTGTTGTCCTAGGACCACCTGCTGCAAAGGCGGCCATTAATATCTCCCCCACCGCGTTGTCGCGGGAAGCGAGTGGGAAACCAGCTGACTGTATGTGTGAGGGCTCAGGCCTGGATCCACAGTTCTTTCCCGTCCGTCGACACCGAGCTTTGCCTGTGCCTCACTCTCTTGATCGCGCTGCTTTGTAGAACGCTTGTCCATCGGCACAGTAAGTCCTCCAGCGCTGTTGCTCCTCTCCTTCCAGGCTGTTTTGGCCGGGGGGGGGGTGTCTCCGGGGCCCTCCGCTCAGGCTCCCCTGCAGCCTGTCTCCTCTTGCTGGGACGTGTGGGAGGGAGCCCGTGTGCTGAGTGCAGCCCACCTGTCTGGGTCCCTGCCCAGTGGATGCAGGGGTTCCTGCATCTTCCTTGTGGCGCTGTCTTTGGGATCCAGGATACCCTCTCTAGGTGGTTTCTGTGCTTCACCTGATGCTGCTTTTCCGTCATTTTCTCAGCTTCCTCCTGTTTCTCCAAGCTCTAGACACTGGAATGCGCCAGGCTCTGCCCTTGACTTTTTTTTCTTCCTTAGGTCAAGTCTTTCCTCCGGTGACTTCCTTCAGTCTCGTGGCTTTCAATATCCACAGTAAAGGTCAATAAATATCGGTTGAATAAAATAATAGCTGTCTTCATTTGAATGAATGAATGTGGCAGGCAGAATGGTCACCCTTCCAAAGAACATACTTGTGCATGTCGGCTCAGCCGTGTCCAACTCTGGGTGGGGGTCAGGTCAGTGACGGAAAACCAAGCCAAGAGCAAGCTCCTGGAGGTGACCTAACATCTCCATCGTGTCCTCTTTACTCATTTATGTAAGGATGCTCTGACCACCGTGTGGAGAGGCGGCTGATGAGTGAGCCGACGGCAGCAGCAGCACAACCCCAGCATTTCTGATGGAGCAACCGTGCCCGGACCACCAGGAGGTCACCTGGGCAGACGTGTGGGGTCTCCACCCCAGTCTCCAGCCCTGGGGCTGAGCGCCCACAGAAGTGGGGACCACACCGTCCAGGAAACCCAGCTGCTGTAAACACTGCATCAGCATAAAGACCCTCCAGGCCCTGGGCGAGGCAGGGATTAGCATAACAAAGGGAGAATGAGTATTGATATTTTGTGTATCTGCAGCCTGATCCTGCTCTAGGAAGAGAGAGATCTCAGTACTAATGGAAATGTAATTGATGTACAAGTGCGATTCTCCCAGTGACTCAGAAAGCAAAGCGCTGGCTCGTAAAATAGATAAGATTGGAGGCAGCACCAGGGATCCCGGGGCATTAATCCCAGCTGTGTTCATGGTGCCAAATGCTAATAAGCCAGTGATTGTTCGAATTCACACAGGTACCACCCATATTTATTGTCTCCTCCAGATCAGGCCTGCCTGCTGATGAGTGAATCAATAAGAACCCATCATAATTTCATTTCTTCTCCCTCAACAACATGTCAATGCACAAGATGACAATCCGGGGGGAGGTCGGAAAAGGCACATCAGCAGGAGTCCCAAGTTCAGAGTGGAGGATCTGTGATTCCGTGTTTCCTGCATGTGGACATTTGGGGGCTCTTGTGTGCGGGGCTGCCCGTCCTTGCCAGACCCCTCCCACTGTCCTGCCAGGGCCACTGCAGCCCCAGGAGCCAGGTGATGGCCCGGGCGATGACCCTTCACGATGCCGGCCCAGCCCCTGCAGGACTGGGGACTCAGCCAGAGGAGGTACAGGTGGCTCTCTGGAAGCTGGGGGAAGGGAGGGATGAGTAGCCTTCCTCTCAGAGGGTCTTGGCAGTGGGCATCTCTGCCACAGGCCCAGCTGCCTCTGGAGTCTAGGACCCTGTCCCCTTTCTGTCTTCTGTTTGAGGGATAGTAGTCGTTCTGCTGTCACAGTTTCTGAGAGTCCTTCCACCCCTGCTCAGCAGCCTGGCCCCCCACTCCTGAGACCCCCTCCACCCCGAGTGGCCTCCCTTTAGTCCTTGACCATTTTCCTGGTTCGAACCCGGCTCCTGTCCCCTCTTAGAGGATCACGAGCTGATCTTGTGAGTCACAGGCACTTTGGCCCCTTGGTAGAGCCCAGGGACTCGCTTCTCAGAGGAAAGTTTTTCGGGGTGTGATACAACATGTGAAAGGAACGTGTTAGTCACTCCATCGTGTCTGACTCTGTGTGACCCCCTTGGCTGCAGCCCGCCAGGCTCCTCTGTCCATGGCATTCTCCAGGCAAGAGTACTGGAGCAGGTAACCATTCCCTCCTCCAGGGGATCTTCCCTACCCAGGGATCGAACCCACGTCTCCTGCATTACAGGCATATGGGGGCTTATAAAGGAGAACAATTGTTCTGTAACATATTTATCAGAAAATTTGAACAAATGTGTGAGAGTAACATGCTCGCCTATTAACCAGTGACTTAAACCACAAGGTCCCTGGCGCGGATGCCTCTGAAGGACGGACATGTGTAAGACACCTTGTGAGATCTGTGCACAAGTGTGGGGCAGCCCAAGTCTGTAATCACGTGATAGAAGTCTGCAGTCACGTGATAGTACATGTGTCTGCTTCATGCTGCTGATGGTGGGTTGCTGCCATTCGTAATTAAAGGCCTGTGAAATTCTGCTTGCA